ACGTCATTTTTTGGATTTTTTTAATATTTTCAGGTCGTCAAAATCCGGGCCCCGCATATTACATTTTTGGGTCATATTTTAGGTAATTTTTCTGGATTTTTTCAGCCATTTTATAGGTAATTTTTTAAATATTTTCAGATCATCAAAATCCGGGCCCTGCTTATCACAATGGCCGAGCGGTTTTCGCCCGCATAAACACTGAAGTCATAGGGTTAAATCCTACTTGAGGCATGGATGTCTGCGTTTATTCTGTGTTTGTGTTGTCCTGTGTAGGTAGCGGCCTTGCGACTGGCTGATACACCGTCCAGGGAATCCCACCAACTGTCTGTAAGATTCATAATTTCAGAATTAATCTGAATGGGAACAGGGGAAAGAGCCTAATCCGTCAATGAGGAGTAGGTGAATCCACTTATTTTTAAAAACAACAGACCAATAAGCTCTACCAGTGTAATGGTACCAGCATCTGAGAATGATTTGAATACGTAAATGCTCGTACTTTCGGTAAGGCTAGAGAACATGATGACGTGAAGCAGCGGACGCAGGATGAACCGGCCGAGACACATCACAGATCACCGTCATTACCCTTTAAAATTTAGACCTGTTATATCACAAAACAGAACCCCTCTCTCTGAACTTCAGTTTCCCCTTTTGGAACCTGTTTTGGAACCGCATCGGAGCTTGCCCTCATGGTATATTCTTTTGAAAAGTTGTATAAATTATGTCATTGGTGGAATTTATAGTTTTCTCATAAAATTTAATTTCTTCTGGTGTCCGAAAGGGTGTGTTTCCCGCGTATCATAACGCAAAGCGCTTATGCAGATTGTCTGTCTTCTGTCATCTGTTATTCCAAGAATATCGACGTAATTTGACTCTGTTAATTATCAACAGTAGGTCAGCTATGGTTTGAGAATTTTTGTTTCCTTTGCGTTAACTTTGGATTCGTTAAACAGCGGATCACTCACTTTTGGATGATTTCATTTTATTCTATAGGGACGAAATTCTCAAATATCCCACACACTGGCAACCATTTTGTAATTTGCTCCAAGGAAGTGCTAGTTTTGGCGGACTTAGGTATGCAGTGTAAGCCTGTTCATAGAATTAACCGAGAAGGTGTATTTTCTGGCCCTAGTATAAATTGGCCGATCACAGTGTCCTTGCGATCTAGGGCATGATCTGTTTTGGCCCGCTTGGACACTGGGATCGTGGGTTCCAATCTCACTCGAGGCATGGAAGTCTGTGCGTGTTTATTCTGTGTGCAGGTAGCGGCCTTGCGACGGGATGATCACTCGTCCATGGAGTCCTTCCGGCAGCGTAAAATAACAAGGAACTGAAAAAGTGGCCAAGGTCCACCAAAGGGCTGTAGAGCCATTGACAGACAGTATAAATTAATTCTATATATCATCCCCCACTCACTCATGACTAGTCGTATACAAGAGTGAGGCCCAGAGATCGGGCAACTGTACATTTAATATTCACTTGCTGTAAATTGTTTTGGGAGCAAGAGTACAAGTGCACTTATGTGCACTTGTGATGAAAACACCGAGGAAATGTTCTTATTTTATATAAGGCGTATCTAAATCTGAAACTCTTGAAACTTTGACTGTGCCAGCGATTTAACTGTTTACATTTTTAGTGCTCCGTCATATTGTTTGCATTTCTTGAGACGGAGGTTGTGCTTATAGAATTGGATCGGGTTTCATGGCCTGTGGTACATGTTTCTTAGGCGAATTGTTGGTTTGAATGTCCCGTGTAGCTCGGTGAACATAGTATTCAAGCTGCAGGCTAGAACATTGGGAAATCTTGGTTGACATTTGGGCAAGGGGCAGATATTTTTATCTTTCTTAGCGTCCAGACCGGCTCTGGAGTCCAACCGCGGTGTGAAGTTGACCATTCAGTTCCATCTGGTGCCGAGGTTAAGAATCCACGGAGTCATAACTTCACTCCCCTTACGTCTTCTTGGAGTGGTGCGTAATTAACCACTGAAACAACTTTATGTTTAATATGGGCATAACCCTTAGGTATTATGTATGGAAAAGTCCTTGAAAACGGTTCTAATTATGTTGCTTAAATTTGTTTCAGTCCAAATAATACAGCATCAGCCAAACAGCTGCAAAAATAGTTTAGGAAGTGTTGCGTTTATTTGAATTATTATGTTGTGTTTACACACAGTCTTTCCGTTCTTCCGCCGTATGTAAACCCCCCCCCCCCATACCGCACGGATTTCGATTAAGTTTGGTACTGGGTACCTGCACTGCAGCTTGCCGGGTGAACTTATTTGTCGTTTGCTCATACTCCGTGTAAAGCTGAGATCCAGCTCCATCAATAGAAAAAGGCATATTGGGCGATCTACAGCTGTTGTTGGAAACGTCTTACGGTGTGGCGAATATTTAACGAAATAAAATGTCAAATAATTTGTGTCTTTATGTCCCATTTGCTTTGTAGCGTTGGATTTGTGTCTGCAACAGATGAGCATCAAAGCCAATGTGGTATGCAAAGTAGAGACATGTAGGGCTGTGTATGCATACCTTTCCACTCTCTGTTATCCAGCGGTCTGCGTTCTGTTGATGTGATGTACAGTTGTTCCAACTGGGTGCAACGCTGATATGGGGGCCCCAGCTGAGTTTCTGCGGTATGGGATCCAAATGACCCGAGACTACCTCAGGTGTGTAAACCGCAGTGGAGTGAAATTCAGTCCCCAGATGGAGAAAACAAGTATTCGCATGTCAGTAGCATTGCCCGCTGATTTACCCCACAATTTATGTTGGACGAATTGAAGCACGGGAGGAATTTTAATGCTCTCTGATCGAGTAATCTCGCTGTCCTCTATCAGGTTAATCGCTTAATCATTCAGAATCGCCATATTATTCGGCGATGTCAGAGACGGAGCATCAACATATTAAACAAACAAACAAATTTAGTTTGGTTCATCCTGGTCCGTCACACTGTCAATATTATAAAGGCCAATTAACGCCACACAGTGTGACTGATAAAATGTTTTTTTTTCTTTTTAATCTTTTATCCCTGACACGTTTCGGCCTTATAGACCATCTTCAGAAGGATAGCAATACAATTAGAAACCATCATTACAATGTGTTTTGTGAATATTAATATATACATACCTTGTTATCATAATACAATGAATAAATATTAGATTTTGTATTCATTGTATTATGATAACATTGTATGTATATATTAATATTAAGCACAATAGACTACTGTAGGTCGCGGTGCAAGGGCCGAGAAGGCCCTTATACATTCATACATATATTAATATTCACAAAACATATTGTAATAGTGGTTTCTAATTGTATTGATATCCTTCTGAAGATGGTCTATAAGAACGAAGCACGTCAAGAATAAAAGCTTAAAAAGAAAAAAATAACAGTTTATCAGTCACACTGGATGGCGTTAATTAACCTTTATAAAGAAAAACAAACTTTAACCCATTCGTACTTTGTAGCTCTCAGATTACTGTAATTAATACATTCCAACAAGCGCGTGTTGTTACTCTTCAGTCAATACTGTAACGTTTACAGACATGTAATCTGATAGGTGGTTGGGCCTACCTGGATTGATGGCAATGTTTTGAACAGTACATCGAAGAAAAGAGGTACAGTCCCTATCGAATGATAACTGAAACACAGAAGAACATTTTGAATCTTATCAGTATGAGTTGAATTTAAAATTTATTCGCTTAGAAGAATTGTAAGACCATCTCTCTTTCCGACATCCCCAAATGTAGCCTGGTTTAGTATTCTGCCTTGAGACACCATCCTTCACCAATGAGAAGTCATGTTGTACTTGCCGTAAAAGTGAACGTTAGGTCAGGATTGATAAGTCAGTACAAGTGTACTTTGCTTTGTCAAGTTCTGTAACTTAAGATGATCCCATAAGAAGTGAAACGTCTGTGTCCGTTAGTGTTACATTGTTAGCCAAAGCGTAATAAAAGCTCGTTGGAATTCAAGATGTTCATTAGTGTATCAAGCATTTTCGGGTCGTAACGGAATACTTAAGCAGTTACTGTTCGGTACTGCGTTTCTTTACACTGGAATTACGCTTGTAAGAAGCATTCTCATACATTAATCGATAAATCGACTACCTAGAAATTAATACGTGGTGCTATCCAGAAGTTCCCGAAATATATTAATACAAACTATTACATCTTACCTGGATCTTATTCTGCACCATCACATTCAAAGTAGTCCCCTTGGGAGCGCATACACCGATCCCAGCGTTTCTGCCACTTTTCAAATGCATCCTGGATGTCTTTCTTTGTTAGGGTGTTTAGTACCGTCTGCGTTTCCGCTTGAATTTCCTCAACTGTATCAAATCTTCGCCCCTTCAACTTGATTTTCATCTTGGGGAAGAGAAAGAAGTCGCATGGAGCTAAGTCTGGCGAGTACGGTGGGTGGGGAATAACTGCCATCTTTGTAAGTTTTGAGGTTTTCACGGCGATGACTATGAAGAAAGTCGTTTTCTGGGATCTGGCGCCGTGTATTCTTGGTTTTAACCGACGTTTCGGAGGAACATATCGCCTCCATCTTCAGGGTAGTTGAGTTGCGTGCGAATACAGATAGCTGTAGCTGCAATGATTTGGAAGTGGAAAGTGCTGGTTTATATATGCAGTAGGCCGGGGGGGGGTTGGGGGGACCAATGGGAAGAGTGAACAGCGATAAAGGCCATATATGGTCTGGGGTGCGAAAGGGGGGGATACCGGCAAGTGAATCCAGGCAACATGGAGGTCAATGCGCGGAGGTGGCGGTTAAACAAGAAGAACTGGTTGGCCGGGGACAGGCTATTGACGTCAGTGACATGAACTGGGGACAAGCTACTGACGTCAATGACATGAAAAACTGGGGCGGCTTTGTGGAGTTCTCTTGAGGGAGGAGAGGAGAGGTTTCCATGATTTGTTGAGATAAAACTCTGTATGCTTGTTCATGTTGTTCGGATGGAGCTCGATCTCATTGGCCTCCATGATGATGCGATCCAGGTAACGGCTCTTACAGGCGAGTATGGCGTTTTTTTTGAAACTGGATACGATGGTCTAGCTCGATGCTGTGTTCAGCTACGGCTGACTTGTCCGGATGTTCCAGGCGTAAATGCCGTTGATGTTCTTTCAGCCTGGTGCCCACAGAATGGCCCGTTTGCCCAATGTAGACCTTGCCGCACTCGCAGGGGATACTGTAAATTCCCGGTGTCCTGAGTCCCAGGTGCTCCTTGACAGGCCGGAGGAAATTAGATTTCTTCTTAGGAGGCAGGCCAACTGATTTGATGTTGTGTCGGGACAGCATTCTGCTAATCCTGTTGAATATAGTCCCGACAAAGGCAGTGTCTCTGCGGTCATCATGTTGATTGTGGTTGGGACGGCGGTTGAGGGCCCTGTGGATCTGCCGGTCGTTATAACCATTCCTTCTGAAGATGTCCTTCAGGAACTCCAACTCCCCACGCAGGCTGTCTTGATCGCACAGAGCTCTGGCCCTGTGTACCAGTGTGGAAAGAGCTGCCTGTTTACTGGAAGGGTGATGATGGGACCTGGCATCGAGATATAGGTTGGTGTGTGTGGGTTTACGGTACTCTCTATGGCCTAGAGAGCCGTCGGGTCTTCTGTAAATATCTATGTCGAGGAAGGGAAGGTGCTCTTCACTTTCGGTTTCCATGTTGAACTGAATGCTCTGGTGGATACTGTTTAGATGGTTTGCCACGTCCTAACCACATCCTACTTCAGCTTCGATGGCCATTTCTACGAACAGACTGACGGTGTAGCCATGGTCTCACCGCTATCTCCGGTCATCGCTAACGTCTACATGAAGAACTTTGAAGAGAAGGCGCTTGACTTGGCTCCACACAAGCCCCTATGCTGGTTTCACTATGTGGACGACACCTTCGTCGTCTGGCCCCACGAACCTGAAAAGCTGAGAGATTTCCTAAACCATCTAAACAGGAAACAGGGTTTTATCTCAACAAATCATGGAAACCTCTCCTCTCTTCCCTCAAGAGAACTCCACAAACCCACCCCAGTTCTTCATGCCATTGACGTCAGTAGCTTGTCCCCAGTTCATGTCATTGACGTCAATAGCCTGTCCCCAGCCAACCGGTTCTTTTCGTTTTCTGGTGTGCCAGTTGACGGCCGTCCCGAACGATCGTCATTATCAGTGTATGTTCGGCCATTTTTGAAACTCTTATACCAGTCGTAAGTTTGTGTCTGGCCTAAACTGTTGTCACAAAAAGCTTGCTTCAACATTTGGTGCGTTTCTGCAGCGGTTTTCCCAAGTTTAAAACAAAACTTCATACAGACACGCTGCTCTCTCAGGTCATCCATCGCAAAACCGCAAACTCACGGAAACACAACACTGGAAATACGTTCACAAACAATAAACCCAACCACTCATCTCGACGCCGCTTGTCACACTGATTCAAGAAGGGTATGTGGGGAGACACCTAGCGATATTTCGATGTACTCATGACCATTCGCACGCAAAATTCAAATTTCTGGAACTTTCTAATAGAATCACGTATCTACGTTTCGTTACTGTTTGCGAAGAAGATTCCATTTTGTGTTCCCTGACTAGGCCAAAAAGAAATGCTGGCTTAACTTACTGAATTTGGCTGCTACCTCCTTTAAAATAGTCTCCTTGAGAACGTATACAGCGATCCCATAGTATTTTCCACGCTTCAGGGGCACCGTGGAAGTCATGTTTCTTAAAGTTGTTGAGTACCGCTTGCAATTCCCTTCGGATGTCAGACACTACTTCAGAACGTAATCCCTTCGGTTCATTTTCAATTTGGGAAACAGCGAAATCACAAGGAGCTAAGTCCGGCGACCAGGGAAGATGGGGAACGATAACCATGTTGTTTTCAGGGACGTGTGGACGGGCGCGTTGTGATGATGAAGGAGCAGTGCGGCACATGTTCCAGTTTTTTGTTAAGATCTCCTGTCAAACTCCATAACTGATCCCAACTGTGTCTGCAAGCCCATGGATTGTCCGGCAGCGATCTGCGTGGATTAGTTTTCAAATTTTTTAACATTTGCTGGTGCTTGGTCACCCTGAACGTTCGTCATCTTCAATTGACACTCGACCGGCCTTGAAACGTGACTCCCATTCAAAATCCGCGGTCCGGCTTAAAGAATGTTCTCCAAACGCCTCGTGAAGCATTCCAAATGTTTCGGTTACGGATTTACCGAACTTCACGCAAGACTTGATGCAGTCACGTTTGCTCAATGTTGTCTTCCGTCGCAGACAAAACGAAACACGAAGTCGAAAAAGCACTTGTATGAAAGCAGTACATGTTCATAGCGCTGTGTCACGCGAGAGACTGACGCAATAGGCTTGCGGAAGCGTGACCTTGACCTTTCCTCTCATCTTCTTTCAAGGAAGGCGTTAAACAATAAGTCCGTACACTTTCCACTACCACCTCTTAGGACGCAGCGGGTATGCAGTGAACTCACAAGCACAACGGAAACAGAGGCCGAAACTTAGAACTGAAACTAAGAATTTGAATTTTGGCAGTGACATTCCCCCCACACCGTGAGTAATGTAGCATGTTCCTTCTTCGGAGCCTCGTTAGTGAGAATGCATTACAGGAAGAGAAGTTGCGGCTGGTTGACAGTGAAGTGGGCGGCGTTCTCGGAAACGCTTGTTACTCTCGTGCTGCAGCTTTGGAAGGGGATTGAAACCACAGATTCTCATCTTAATAAGATAATACATGTTAACGATTCGAGGAAATACCAAAACCGCCAGGAAATAAATTTTGTAGACCATCCATGGGCTATAACAAACACAACAGCATATTGTATGATCATTAGGATTTATCTTAATATTTAATCTTTTTATTATAGAAGAAATATATATTTTGTTTTATTTTTTTGAGCATTCTTCCTAATTATTGTTTACTTTGGCGTTAAGGTTTGTTATTTTCTTTGTCTTAAATGCATTAATTTAAGTATGCACTTAAATTAGTTGAAAATTTAACTTCTGGCGCTTTCAAAACATGAGTCAATACATAATTCCCTGTGCTGTTTGTTTTGCCACCGTTGATGTGTATTTCATGTCGATGCCTTTGTTAGTAGGTTTTTTATTTTCGTCTAGAAATAATATTTGCTTGGATTCCTTGTTTTATAAGGACGGAGAGGGCTTACGGTATCGTATCAGATTTAACTTCCAGTAACGTTGAGGTATGTTGGTGGGCTGCCATGAAACGGACATCATGCAGTCGATGTCACCTACACCTTTTCATTTTAATTGTCTACCATCAGTAAAACAAGCATTGTATCTGCGATTTCTGGGGTGTTACAGGCAGCATTCAATGGAAAACACGAAATTTGAGTAATGCTATATCTGAAGAAAACTAATTAAGTATTAAAGCTGTAGATATGGTATACAGCGGACAAAAAAAGCTCCGTGGCTTTATTCCGCAAGCGAATTTTACCGACCTAGTGACCGCCGCTTGGCGGTGAAGTTAGTGCCAACTTTAGCGGATAGAGGGTGTCGCGTGGTCAGCGCAACGAATCGCCATGGCCGTTAATTTCGGTTTTGTGGACCGGATACCGCCGGAATATATATAACATTTATATGATGAAATTTTATGTGCACATATTGCAACTATACGAATCTTCGGGGTTACGCTTGGCAATGTTTGGGTAGTAATTTATGTTAGTCGACAGTAGAAGCGGAAATGTATGTATCGAAGTCATGCAATTATTAATTTAAATCTTCTCTAGTATGCCACTAAAAGTCGATGGATTGAGTACCATGTAGGCCAAAGTGTTGATAAGCTCCTTCCCGAACTTTCGAAAGGAGTTGTTCTCCTGCTCTGGATATTCATCCCATAACCAAAACTAATATTTATCTTCCTTTTGTTGCAGGTAAGTGGACGAATCCTTCTGTATAAATTCCCCGTATAGATACCGAAGATCAGCACAGGTCAGTATTGTAAGAAATGAGGATCTCTTCTCAGCGACGTTCTGAAATGCTTAACTCCTCCTCGTATTCACCGCAATAGAACGTAGTGAAACTGTCTGTAGCATTCAGGGCAGTGAAACATAGTACATGTAGCGAGTTAAAGGGAAGACAAATACACTACTCAAAGAAGGAAACGAGCTGCAGACGCAGGTAGAAGGACAGAATCAGACGGAAGAAGAACAAAGAAAATAAGAAACAATCAAATCAGCTCAGCTGATAAAATCAAGATATATAGACCTACAGTAAATGTAAATTACTTGGCAGGTATCTAGTTAAAACCATCCCTTTCCATCGGTTACTGGTCTCTGTTCTCTGTCCCTTTCTTCAGCACTGTCTAGAAATGTATTGGTTCCTTTTTATGCTCATTAACGATGATTTGCAGACTTACGTAGCATCAAATGAATGATAAGAAGCAAGTGTGTAAGGATTGGGATGTACGAGTTGTCCTCTGACGTGTTCGAATTTCTGCCATGCATTTTGCTCGAGAGTTTGCGGCAAGGCACGGAGAACCTCGACATCTGTTACCGGTTCAGGTATGGAACCAAGTGAAGATCGAGGTCTAAAGATAACACTCTGGAATGGTACACATAAGCCTGACAGTGACGTTTCTGATTTTCATGTCTGGTATCCGGTTCATATCTTGTCCGTGACATCCTGCTATCTTGACCGAGTGTTTTCATGATCTTTGTCAGTACTTTAATGTAATCGCTTCCAGTGGGATATTTGCATATCCATCACATCGAAGGAATAAGTCGGTGTCTTAAATTATGTTACCGTCCTCACACCGTCTTAGGTAATTATTGCTAGTTTATTTGTTAGTCTGTATCTGTTTTCGCAGTTACTCCAATCTGCTGTTGAATGCGCTCTGTTTTTTAGTTCCCACCTCTGTGTTGCAGTCTGTATATCGCTACATATAATGAGCTACGCAGTCAAAAGCAGTGGCGATTCCTGGTATAGAAATTAGGTCATGCAGAAATGCAGTCGCACAATTGGAAGTACTCACAGAATTGTATTATTTCCCTTTTCACGATAATGCAGGCGCGAAATAACAGTTTTTGGACCTTTAGTCATCAAGTGAATCTGTCCACGTCCCTGGTTTAGCACATAGCGAAGCTGTGAGAATCTGGGGCAAAGCAACACTCTCCAGTTCTTGTTGAATAGCGAGGAGATTTTTTTTTTATTCTTCCAGTTTGAGCGTTCTGGCAGCGGAGTTCTGCCCAGACCTTAACATTTGCCACCAGTTAAAAGCTGACTCAGCCGGAGCCGGCAGATGTATGTATCCAAATCCTCAGCCGGCACAAGAACACCTCTCTCGTCTTATTATTGCCTGTTACTCTTGAAGCATGTACAGCCGTTGCTATGCGAATGTACATCGACCGTTTCTGAGCAACGGCTCGGTAAAGACGTTCCCGCGTGCACGAATACGCACGTAGCAGTACGCTTACTGTGGAAACTTACTATGGAGTACTGTGTACTCGGTGCCGGGATGTTATGACCGGGACAGTTTGAAGCTAACATTCACGCCAAGGAACATACAGGCGGTGGTGCCTCAAAGTTCCGTCCTGCCCCTCCACAGTGTGCAGTATATGTATGTAAATGATATGCCCCTGACACCTGGCGTCTGTCTAGGTCTCTTTGCTGGTGACACCTGTATATACCGTATTTACGCATGTATAGGCCGCACATTTTTTGCCAAA